ATATATATATATATCAATTTCTAGGTTATGAAGTTAAAGGGTTAGAACATGTTCCTGATACAGGACCGGCCTTAATTATTTACTACCATGGTGCTATACCAATAGACATTTACTATTTCCTGGCTAAGGTCATTTTTACTAAGAACAGATTGGTTCACACTGTGGCTGACCATTTTTTGTTCAAAATTCCAGGTAAATTAGCATTTGCCACTAATACAGTAAGACCCCGCTTAACGCGTAGGATACGTTTCATCAAAGTAGAGCGTAATGCGAAACAGTGCTAAACGAGGCTATCTTAACATGTAAATAATGGGGTTAGGGGAAGATGAATAGAAAATTGGTTAGGTATTAAATTTAATAATTATGTTTTTTTTTTTAATAAAAATAAAACCAAACATTTATTTCTTACAAAAATAAAAACAATATAAACGAATATTACTTATAAAAACAAATCAAATTCTAAGTCAGTCGGAAGCAAATAATTACCGCTTAAATCGGTGCATGTGTAGCACCCTCGCGCGACCCGCAACAGTTGAATATGAAATGCAGCTAAAATAAACACCTGACGTCCCTGAACACGAATTCACAAATTGAAAATAAATGGATAGGCGAACTGGCGCGCCGCTTCGCGGCTCGCAACCAAAATCATTCAGCCTATTCTGTGTTTCCAATTTTCTGCCTTTTTGTCAAGAAGTTGTTGATAAGTGGATAAAGCATCTATAACACCCCGTCTTCGAAAGTTCTTTTTGCTCTTCTTCGAAATCACTATCAATATTTTTGTTTTCTTCTTGCTCAGTTAATTCCTTGAGCTCATCATTAGAAAGACTAGCTGCTGTTTCTTGAACTATTTCTTTGGATAGGTTATGTACATATTTGGAAACCTAGCGTTGCGCACAATTTCGGGGAATCCTCATATTGCTGCGAGCAATTTCGAGGAATCCCCGGGTTGAAATAAAAGAGCGCTAAACCGAAACAGCGCTAAACGAAACAGCGTTAAGCGGGGTCTTACTGTATAAGAATTATTATTAATAAAAATATAAAGTATTAGTAGTAAAAGTATTAAAACTATTAAACTTAAAAACTTAAGACTAAATCACAAATCTATTTCAACTCTGTATGTATCTCTATTAGTGCTGGCAAAAACCGGAAAAAAGTGAAACCGGTTAACCGGGTTCCATAAAAACCGATTTCAGATAAAATCGGTTAGTCAAATAGTTGCTGAAACCGGTTATTCGAATAACCCGTTACTTGAATCGCCAAAACCGGATAACTGAAAGTCGGTGCTTTACAAAGACAGAACCGGAGAAATTCTCTAAAAAAAAAAAGGAAGTAGATCATCGAATAATCGGATATTTGAAGATTCGAATAACCGGTTTTCGGATATTTGAGGAATCAAATAACCGAATAACCGGTTTTCAGATTTCATAAAAATCCGAATTATCCGAAACCGGTTAACCGACTATCCAAAAAACCGATTTCAGTTGCCAGCACTAATCTCTATCAAAACTGTAATATCATATAATTATGTAGTACCTTATTTATTTTTATTGTAGGGTTTTCCATATTAGCAGAATGCATGAAAGTTATTCCAGGAACTGTTCAGACTTGTTCGAATATATTAAAAGATGGGAATTTATTAGCTATATCTCCCGGTGGAGTATATGAATCACAATTTTCATATAATTATAATTTAATGTGGAAAAGAAGGTTAGGATTTGCTAAAGTTGCTATAGAAGCAAAAGCCGTAAGTTCATTTATTAACACAAATTTAATTTCTTTGCAATACGTGTTAATTCCATTTCAATTTTTTATCACTAAAAAGTGTTTTATCAAAATTCCTTGTGCAGGTGTTGTTCTGTTAACAAAAAACAAATTTTTGTTTGTTATACGATTTGTGTATGCGAAAAATTCAAAAGTTTATTATTTCAGACAATTATCCCCATGTTTACAGAAAATTTACGAGAAGCTTTTCGTACAGTAAGTTTAGGAAGAAGGTTTTTCCTAAAGATGTACGCCCTTTTTAAGTTTCCTTTCGCTCCAGTTTATGGAGGATTTCCAGTTAAGATGATAACACATCTTGGCAAACCAATACCTTATGATCCAAATTTGACTCCTGAAGAGTTGCAAGAAAAGGTAACTAAAATAATTAGTTCATTTAAAAAATTAAAATATATTTTTTTTGCAGGTGGCTTTGGCTATAGAGAATTTAGTGAAATCTCATCAGAGGTTTCCTGGAAGTATTTTTAATGCTTTATTAGATAGAATTCCATATTTTCAGAAAAAACGTGTTAAAATGCAAAATTAAAATCCCATATCACATTCCCTTTATACATATATATTTATTTTATTATTTAATTGGTGTCAGTATTTTATTAAATAAAAATATTTTATTTAAACTTGTTTTAATTTCGTTGTCCCAAAATACTTTATGTGGTTTTCCTTTTTACTTATTTTTTTTGGGGTGCATATTTTCCGCACTATAAATTGAAGTTCTAAAATACAAATAAAATTAAGTTTCCAGTATAACAATGTCAGGGATGGTTTTTAACAAATTTAAGCAAAAAGTATATTTTGAAAATGAAAGAAAAGTTTAACCGTTAACACTTTATAAACGGGTTTTGTAGTAATATATTTATTCCCTCATTGTGGGATTTCCAGGTAAGCAAAAATAAGTTTACTAAAAATGACCCCTGGTTTTGAGCCTTTTGGCACAGGTCTATTTTCTATTTTGTATTATTTACAGTGAAGTAAAGAGCCTAAAAAATAGAAAAACAGAAATAAACTGAGATGACAAACATAAAAAATCGAATTATGTTGACTTGAAATTTGATAAAAGGTATACTGCCAAGTCTATAAAAATAAATATATAACACTCGTTTCTGACAGTATTTGGTTTGTCACAATGATTTCCAAATAAAATAATGAAAGATGTAAATTATAATAATACTTCAACAAATTTTGATAGAAAAATTATATATTTATATTTATTGATTTTATAAGCAATAAGTATAAGGCGGTTATTTAAAAGACAACATTATTTTTCCAGTAAAAACATTTTATAAAGCCTCTCATCTTCAGTATTGTTGAACTGCGGAACAAATGGGATCTTCACTATTTCCTTAAATCCTTCAGACTTCTCTGGCTCCTGAAATTTGTTTTTGTAACTATTTATGATAATTTCACTCACAGGCTCATGAGATCGATCAGTCAGTTCACGGAATTTATTATTGTGTTTGGTTTGTTTAAAGTTTGTCGTCATAAGGAAACAGTAACAATCAATATTAAACTTTTTTGCTACTTGAACAAATCTTGCTCTGGATTCTTTGTCAGGATTTGTATTATCTATAACACAATTTTGTTTCTGCTCAAGATTTTCTTCTAAAGAATTCACACATTTTTGCCAAGAGCCTAGTTTATCTCTGCTTATATGAATGTAGCCCTTACCGATTAGAACTTTACAACAAAAATAACTTTTGCCAGACCCAGGGCCACCAACCATTATAATGACGTTAGGTTTATTATATTTCACCTCGGGATAACTAGCAACAGATAAGTTTCTTGGATCAAAGTCAGGCATTGTATATGCAACAGGCTTCGCTTTTAAAAAATGTTCTTCTGGTGTATAGAATTTTATTCCAATGTTAATCGCAAATAATCTGTCAGCTATAGAATGATCTTTATTTTTTTTAACAGCCCAATTTTTTTCTCTACCAGCTGCATCCCCCACATAAAAAGAATTTTTCTTGTCGATACAGATGTTATCATTTTTCTCATCAACTAAAACATTCCACATTCCTGGGACTGGTTTTCTATAAGCCGATTTCCCAGTTGCAATAAACACTTGAATTGGTAAAGAAATCTTTGAAACAATATTTTCTATCTTTCTTTTAAATTCTTTTATTTTCTTGGAATCTTTTCCTATTCCTGATTGGTTTGTAAAAAATACTATTTTAAATTCATCGTCATTTAACTTTTTTAAATGGTGTGGTATGTCTTGAATATACAATTGCCAGTCATCTCCATCCTTCGGAAATCTTGCTCCTGATTTAGTTTTTATTATGGTCCCATCTACATCAAATGCTGCTATTTTTGCTTTTCCTTTACAATTTGCTGCAGTGTATATGAGTAATTCTTTTCTGTCAATGTCTTCCCATTTTCCAACGTCGGGATATGGTTCTTTTTCATTTGATTGTACATCACTATCATTTTTTAAATTAAATATTGGAAAATCTAGTTTAGGCTTTTTCGCCACTTGAGTTATATTTTCTTCTGGTGGAGGATCAAAAACAATTTCATGTTCGTGATATCCTAATCGCAATTCTATTCTATGGCCATGCCCAACTGTGTATGTTTTGTCTTTTGACACTGCATAACCATCTATACCACATATAGACCGACCAATTGGTTTTAACTTAACTTTATAATTGTCAGTATCGGCACTACACTCAATTTGGTTTTTTGATACATACAAATCTTGATTTTCTGTTTCTTCATTACGTCCAAGAATTATTACTTCCCCATGAGGTAAATTAATTTTCTTGTTTGTTTCTAAATTGAGTAAATGACATGTAACTGAGTCGTTCATTTTTATTAGGAAATGTTTTTGTATCCTAAACACATTTCGAATACTCCACAAAAAAACTGCACTTCCCAGAACGAAAATTTTAATAGCAGATATGCCTTTTTAAAACACGATGACAAAAATTCTCTTTATTTTCATTTAAATTTAAATAATTTCTGAACAATTTTAAAATTTAAAGGTTAGTTTAGCCCATAGAAACAGTGTTGCCAACTGGTTGAAACGGAATGACCGTACTGGCAGTTTCAAATTACCGTATTTTAGCTTCCAAGACCGTACTTCGAAAATGCACGGGGAGGGGCTTAGAAATAAACGTAGAAAATGTTTAAACCAATTTTGTATTAAAAATTACATAAATAAACATATCAAAGAACCATTTAATAATTATATTAACATTTCAAAATCACTTTCATCTGATGATGCAGGTACCTACTGTCTCTTTCTTATCGTATAATTGATTGACACAGCATGTTACGATTTACCGGAAGGGTTACGCATGTCCCTGCCTTACGTACACATTGTTTGCTTAACAAAAAATGTAATTAATGTATTTCTAGATCTAGTTTTAATCAAATTTATCTAGTTCAGCTAGCAGCAATTAGATGGCGCTATAAGTACAAACGCATTACAGAGACATCAAAAAATATGTACGTATATATCTGTGGTAAAATAAAGATTGAAAAAATTTCATGATTAATAATTCTTGAGAAAGAAGAATAGGTAATACCACTTGTCAAAATTGTTCAAATACCGTACTTTCGGGATACGGTAATGGAGTTGCACCGTATACCGTATTTTTTATCAAATTACCGTACCATTGGCAACACTGCATAGATAAGAGATATATACGGGGGTTTAGCCATAGAATCATAGACCTTATAGTCTAGTAGGACTATGCATGGAATAAAATAATTGACTAGAAAGAAAATAGCACAAATCTAGAAAACGTTAAAGTCCCTACATAATAAAATTTTTAGTGATGGAAATAATCGAATGAATTAAATAATTGAGAGGTTACCGTTCGAATTAATTTTATAATCGAATGATCATTCGAATGATATATAATCGAAAGTTCACTTTGAAAATTTCCGGTCTATCCCAAATCATATGCGAAACATGTTGACGCTAGGTAAATGAATGACTGTCGCGGATTGGGGCATTTCTTCCATATTTCTTCGTTGCCAGTTGTGGTTCAGTAGCATGTGTTTAAAATGAGTAGTCGCCGCCTAAAGAGGTCCATTGTTTGAGATTTTTTTGAAAAAAAAAATTATAGAAAACATAATTTGGTATTATTTTCATTCATATGAATTTTTATCCCCGCTAAATAAAGCTCCCATGTAACACCCCCGCGATGCCACTCATAAAATTCCTGCATACCTTTTTTTCTTGTATGTCGGTGCGGTGATATTCGATTGTCTCATCTATCCTCTCGGCCGTCTTATCTCGAGATGTTGTAGCTCGTTAGAACGTTGGAACAATCGAAACATCTGCGCACTCGCTCGAGTAGTGCAGGTATTAGTAACGCTGTGGCCACTGTCATTCGTATCCGAATAATCGAATGATTCTATATGACCACTCGAGATATCTCGAGAGATTTTCATAATCGATATAATCGATAATTTTCATTCGAGTAGTCCCATCACTAAAAATTTTACAACTTCAAATTCACAGCCATTTGATAAATTTGTCGTTTTTCCTTTGCATTTTATAAAAATGGCAGTCATTTACTGAAAATGACCAAAATAAATAACCCATTGCATGAAATATAAAATGACCAATTTTTTCTTTTATTTCAATAACTCAAAATATACCAGATACAATTAATTATCTTTTTCTTAAATATGGTGAGAAAGCAGTTATTTTGCTATATAAGTACAAAAATTTGTGAAATTTGAAAATGGCCAGTTAAAAGCAGTTAAGGACTATTCTCTGGTGGTAAGTTACCAAGTAACAACATTCTATAACTATCGTTCTATAGGTACTTATAATTAAAATATTTACAATTTAATTTTTCAATATAAAATTACTCGAGATAAATGTTATTAAAAACCAGTAGATATTTCAATTGACCGACTTACTGCAAATAACAAAATTTAAAATTGTATCATTTTAAATGAAATTTTCTGTCCCAATTGCAGATATAGATATATTATCATACAAAATAGTTGTATTAAAAAAGACAAACAAGGACATTGAAATATTTTTTATTGGGACACCACAACACCTATAACCAAACTATAAACTTAGGTAAAAGCATCCTCTCTATGAATTAACTTCTGACATAATTAAGTATATTATTCTGCAGATAACTTTACAAAAATGTATAAAACAAACTTAATGACCATACATCTAAATGCACTTGTTACTGCTCAATATGTAAATTAATGAACTGGCTGAAATCAAATGGCGATTTATTCAATTTCAAGGAGTTCTACATCAAAAATTAGTGTTGCATTTGGTGGAATAATTCCGGGATGACCTCTTGATCCATAAGCATAATCTGGAGAACAAGTAAGTTTTGCTCTCTGTCCAACACTAAGCTGCAAGGAAAAGTGTGGTCATTATTACGGTTAAATCAATTACATTTTTCAATTTTTTCACTTTTTTCAGGTACAGATCGCTTTTCCTCATTTTTTACATAGAGTAAATTAGGAGCGCAAGGATAATTTACATCATATAACATTACATATATTCATAATTTTAACTGGACGTTATTATGAACATGCACATAAATATATGGGAAGGGCAATTTCTATTATATGAATTATTTATTATTTTTTTATTATTTGTTAGAAAACAGAATTTAAGTATTAATCCCTAAGATTAGTTTTTCATCTAATCAAAAAAAATATGTAGGTATATAAATTTTTATACATACTTGGGCAACTCCTTCATCCCATCCTTTAATCACTTCTCCCCTTCCTATGTGGAATTTAAATGGTGCACCTCTGTCTCGCGACGAATCAAATTTTTGCCCATTTTCTAAGGTACCTGTGTAATGAACAACGACGGTTTGGCCCGTTTTTGGAAAAGTTTGGCCTAGAAAAAATTGTTTTCCGTTTATCGGGAATCATTGTTTTCAACGGCAATTTCCATATATGGCGGTCAAGGTCAATAAAAGATTACCTTAATGTAGTATAAAATACCAATTCAGTTAATTGTACTATTTATTGCTGCATTTATCATATAAATGTGAGGCATACGAAATGATAAAAAAATTTAAAAGATTAATGGAATTATGGTAGGCAGCTTACCGTCACCGGGAGAAATAGTTTCTACTTGAACACCCATTATATTATCAAATGCTGCAAATAAAATTTAACTAATGAATTTAGCCGAAAATAGGTATTATATAGTAATATAATCTTACCTTAAAACTATTATACTATGTACAAAAAGAAAGAGAAATGTGCTTCGGTCACGTCACTTCCAAACAAAAATGGCAATTTGGCAATGGCGTCCGTATTCAACCGGCTAAAATCGAATTTAATGCGCACGAACATGCGCTGTGTGCATCATAAATCTACTTACAGGTATGCAAACCTCATAACACTGGATGAAATTTCTGGTTGCAGAATGAAACATATCCTTCACTTTACATGTATGTTTGTACAATATGACCCATTTCAAATGGAAACTCCCTTGTAAAAAATTATTTATTAACCGACTTATTTCGTTTTTTTTTTGAGATAGAGTTTAAAAAATTATATTACATCATATAATATATTATTTTTTTTCGATGCCGAATTTAATTAAAAATGGTTATCAAATTAGAAAATGAACCATGAACCATGAACCATGAACCAATGAAATGAAATTGAACCAAGAGTTTAGACTAAAGAAAAAATATTTATACAAGGTGTCCCTTTTAAACTTCCAAACACTGGGGCAGAGCGAAGAGTTTCTCTTGGAAAAATAGGGTAATTATTTACTATTGCGTCACCCTCCCAAATCGTCACAAAATTTTGTCTACCCCCCTATTTTCGATGTTGCTGAACACGAATCTAAAGTTATTTTTGTGTGGTCGAATACAGTTTTCAAGAAGAAATTTTTTCAAAATTCTAACCTGGATATTTATTCACACAACACAAAACACGATTCGTCAATAAATAGAATTGTGCTGTCATTTTCGTTTTGTTTATCCTGGAGCAAAATTCATGATAGGGCCATAATGGTTGTTGTTTTAACGTTCTGTGAACAGTATTTAAAATGGCTTCTTCCACATCTACAGTCCTTACTGACCGTAGACGAACAAGTTCTCTACGAGCCTAGTATGAGCAAGCAAAAAATTACCTTTTTGCAGCAAAAGAATTGGGGTGAGAAAATTGTCGAGCTGGAACCTTTTCAACATATCTTGCTGATGCAAAAAAATTACATCTACATTCTAGGTACATATCCATGTCGGCCCAATTCATTTAAACCGTACTGATTATACGACATCATGCCAAAAACGAATAGAGTTTATTTGATATCTTGTCACAATTAAAATTGATGCTGTTAAATTATATTGAAAATGTGATTAGTCGCAACAAATAAGCCGAACAGCAAAATTGCATGGAAGGACGGACATTACACTTATTAATTATTTCTTCATAACCATAGATGGACTTAATACTTACCTCATCTCACATGTTAATGACTTCTTACAGTAAAGCGCATACAGGTTAGCAGGGAATACCTATAAATGTTAACTAGCTCCCATTGTTGTGTAGAAACTAGAATTCTAATTGCACTATTTTTATGCACGTTGCAAAATACGCATTATTACCCAATACGTGTGAGCTATGACACATACGTGTTACTAGTCAGATTTATTTCTTTTGTAAGTGGTTTCTTTTTGAGAATAGATTAATTAGATGTCATCATCGACATTCCTGTCGTCGATTAAAGACGATTAAATGACGAAATCATTGTCGGCCGTAAAAGTAATGTCACAGTGCAGACGGGCATTGTAAGGGTGACGAAATTTATAGCCCTGCTATACAACGAGGCTTCTTGGTTTTGCGCAAGTTGGTGCAGTACTTTATTAAACGTTATAGTTTTGTTTATATCAAATATCAAAATTTTACTTAGCACTTATATCATTATTAAACATAGCCTTCCCATCCTGATAATCCATAGGCTAAATGTGAATCAACAAGTGCAGAGTGTAAGATTTTCATTTGCTTAAAGTCTAAAATACTACTTAAACATTTAAGTCTACTTTTCTTCATTTTTTTGCTACACAATTGATATGCATGTCCCACTCTTGCCTATTATGGGTCACTATTCCTAGCTAATTGTTTTGGTCTCAGAATTTATGCTAAGCTTTCTATTTATAATAAGTTCATCAATAAGTTCATCAAATGTTGTAGTAGTGTAGCAGATCTATACCTACTGTAAACAAAAATGTATGTATCTACTTTTATTTATGTTTAAAGTCAGATATTTGATATAAGATTTTACGTCCTCCCCTGTCCAGTTTTATGTTTCTTCAATTGGTTCCTCTATAGAAGAAGACAGTATCATCTGCATAAGTTTCATAAGGTTTTCTACTGCACCTTTTTGCATTAAAATTGTTTTTGGCACTTAGAGTATGGTTACTCTTGTGTCTGTTACACTGTATAGGCTTTGCCTTGCCTGGTTTCCTGAGAGTACCGAGATGTGGAAGCTTGAAGCTTAATTTTTTAAGACCTTCATAGAGTACCTGTCTGGAAGCTTCTTGCAACTTGCTGTATTCCGTGGGATCTTCGGTGTAGACTGAGAGACAGGCGATTTGGCAACTAGATATAAGCTATAAGCCGGTCGAAAAATAATTGCAGAGATTTGAAATTTTCAACAATGTTCTAGAATTGCAAAAATTAGGAGTCAGTGAAAATATTCTATTAACAATAAATGAGCTTAGTTACAGTATTCGTTTGTAAATAATGCAAATAGAAAATTTGGAGCGTATTACACGAATTGACCATTGACCAGGTATTTGTACTTAGTTAAGGTACCAGGGTAGACGTTCGAACATAGCTTATGATTGATCCGGAAATGTCCTGCAGTGATCTCCGCCTTAGATTTGGGCACTTCATCTCCCCGGATTTTGCCCATCTTTGAATTCTGTTCGTCTCGGAAGGGTTGTTTAGTAGTTGGATGTGCTAATTTATAACCATCTTGTTCTAACTCAGAGCGAATTTCGATGTTTTTGAGAAACTATATATTTTCCGAAATGGGAGCTTCGTAGAGGATTTATTGGGACATTTTCGAAGCTCAAGTGAAATTTTCGTTTTTTACACAAGCCCATTTTTGTCACATATTCAAATCGCTATTTTTTTAAGTCGTTTCGATTCCATGATAATTTTCCTTTTATTTTTTTAATTTAAAGCCGATGTATTGAATTCACTAATAACACTGACAATTATAGTCGTAAAATAAATAATGTATGTTAATAAAGCTTAAAGTGATTTGAAGAAAGGAGATTTTTTCTGTTCGAAATTTGATTAAGCATGTATAGAGAATAAGTCACCATAACAAGATAATCAAGATATGTATGTCACATATTACAAATTAGCATAAACTATTTCAAAATCATAAAATTACAATTCACGTGATGTCGTAAATGTATTTAGTAAGCTTAAAATTGAGTCGAATACTTCTACAGCGCTTACATTTTTTTTATGTGGTCCTGTCGACACTAAAAAACGATTAAAATTAACAAATCGTTTTAAACTCGTGCACTTGACCTAACATTCGTCCGAATAAGTAAAAATGGTAACGCCGAAAATTTTTCATTTTTAACTGACCTTTCAGAACAAGAATTTTGTAATTTGTGTGGTGCATTGCAACAGTACAAAGACAAATAATAAATTAGTATGAATTAATGGAAGTATTGTGATACACTTCCAGCCTTTTATGGACTGTTATAGTTTTCGGAATTGAGTAAATAATAGTGGAGGCAGAACATGATTGTGGGTGGTTTAATGTAGTTTAAGTAACAAGGTTTTTACAAGGCCAAGGATGTTATGGCGTTTCATTGCCTAATATTCTACAATGTATTGTCAACTAATCGACAAGATAAATCTACAATAAAAAAATGACTCGAATCTTGACGCTGTTGAAGTTTCGGACCATTTTATGCAAATACATTGGTACACAAAATATTCAAAATCGGTATAGGTATAAATTTTTAACGTGTAGTACTATAAAATAATTAAAAAAAATATTTATAGACATCCGAAACTTTGTGGCGACAATCAAAAAAATAAACAGTAGTAATCTATATTATGCTAGTAAGAGGCAATGCGTGTTGTAGTAGCAGAAAATCTGGCTAAATCTGTGGGCAAGCCGTGTGCTGCTTCATGTTCACAATACACGATGCTACTGACTGCCAAAAAAACATGTGCCATACACTCGACCGGGCCCAGAGATCAAACTATGTTCATTATACCTTAAGAGCTTAAGACTCAAGCTTCCAACGCTAAATTTAATTAACCAAATCCCATAAATATTTAACCCTATGATATCCCAATCTAATAAGCCCATGAACCCAAACCTCAATAACCCTATAACCCCATAACCCCATAACCAAGGGAATAAATCATAGTCAATATGTATTATTGCAAAACATCACATATAACTGAGGACTCCTTGAAAATTGTACGCGGGAGCCAATCAATGGCTCCATCTGTCGTGCATACTCCCAACTGTGCCATTCAAATGGCTACAGTAGGAAGCGACCTGCTATAGTGCAGGTACTTTGTTGCACGACTGCCGCCCACAGAGGGCGTAACACAATGTTTTAGTCGTCAGTGCCGCGAGAAACAACTACTCCGAGGGCTATTTGCCCCTACCGGCATTGAATTATATTCGCGACACCTAGTACAACAGCTAGGGTCGTTTGTCAGTTTAACCCACCAGGCACAGACCGGTTTCGGACTTATTAGTCCTCATCAGTGTGGAAGGAAGTTTCCTCTTCGTGATGATACGACGAAGAAACAGCTGGATCGTTTGTCAGTTGTCCCACCTATGACACACTCTCTGGAGTTTTTTGTTTGGGGGTATATGAAACAAAACGTGTACCGACCGCCTATTGTCGATGCTGCAGATCTTCAATAGCGTATTTTTGCTACAACTAATGCAATTCGACAAATGCCGGAAATCATGGGCGAAGTTAAGTCATCGGATCTGGGGGCTAAAGCCCTAATATGAAAAAATGTATATATTTTGTTCATTTTATTTTTGTGTATGTGTCAAAGTCAGGTAAGCATATTTTTCCACCAATCCATAAATATTAAAAGTAAATGAAAAACATTTTTTTTTTCAGTCAAATAATTTTATTTTAAAAGTTATTAAAATAAATTCTTCCAGAATATGGTCTAGAATCAGGGATTTTGAAGTGTCGCTTTCAATGTTAGCACGTGCTAAATAACTGAATCGGTCTTGACCCACGGTTGACCTTAAAATTTGGAAATGTGTCTTTTCTGACAACATATGTAATATCGGATATA